GATGCTGCCAGACCTGCTGAGCTTTTCCAGCAACTTCTGTTTTTGTTGCTGCTCATCCAGCTTGTGCTGAGCCTTGCTGGAGCACTTTTGCAAGCCCAAGACAGAAATGTTGGCCAGGGAACATGGTAGTCTGTTGAAATGGCAAACAACTGGAAACTCAGGGTCATTTTTCATGGACTGAATATAAATGTTCCTCGTCAAAATGGTCACCCAGTCTTTGTTTCACCTCCCCATTGTGCAGAAGATCACATTCTGAGCAGCTTTATTCTATTTAATAGAACTATTCATCCTGAAGTCTTTTTTTTTTCTCTCATCAGTTGGGAAATCTCAACCGCTTGCAAGAGGATGATTGAATTCATGAGCTCTCTGCTTGGGAATTCTTTCTTCACCTTCTGATGTCCAAAAGGTTTTGATTTTCCTCGGGGTGACCCTTGAGAAATACATTTAATTGAATTTTAAAGAATTTACAACACAATTGCAGGTCATTGTACATAATATGATGAGATGCCTACTGTCTTGTGGTTGAGGTAGAGAGCTGCGACTAATCTTCCATCCTGTGCTAGTTTAGAGGCTTGCTAGTAGTCTGTGATAAACCATGCAAATCTCAGCAGAAATAGTAGGAACTGTCGATGCTGGAGAATCTGAGATAACAAGGTGTAGAGCTGGATGAACACAGCAGGCCAAGCAGCATCAGAGGAGCAGGAAAGCTGACAATTCAGCTCCAGACCCTTCTTCAGAAATGGGGGAGGGGAAGGAGATTCTGAAATAAATAGGGAGAGAGAGGGAGGCAGATGGAAGATGGATAAAGGAGAAGATAGGTGGAGAGGAGACAGACAGGTCAAAGAGGCGGGGATGGAGCCAGTAAAGATGAGTATAGATGGGGAGTTAGGGAGGGGATAGGTCAGTCCAGGGAGGACGGATAGGTCAAGGAGGCGGGATGAGGTTAGTAGGTGGGATATGGGGGTGGCGCTTAAGGTGGGAGGAGGGGATAGGTGGAAGGACAGACAGGTTAGGTAGGCGGGGACAAGCTGGGCTGGTTTTGGGATGCAGTCGGGGGAGGGGAGATTTTGAAGCTTGTGAAGTCCACATTGTTACCATTGGGCTGCAGGGTTCCCAAGCAAAATATGAGGTGCTGTTCCTGCAACCTTCAGGTGGCATCGTTGTGGCACTGCAGGAGGCCCAGGATGGACATGTCATCCAAGGAGTGGGAGGAGGTGTTGAAATGGTTCACGATTGGGAGGTGCAGTTGTTTGTTGCAAACTGAGTGTAGGTGTTCCACAAAGCTGTCCCCAAGCCTCCACTTGGTTTGCCCGATATAGAGGAGCTACAACAGGAACAGCGGATACAGTATACCACATTAGCAGATGTGCAGGTGAACATCTGCTTGATGTGGAAGGTCTTTTTGGGGCCTGGGATGGGGGTGAGGGGGGAGGTGTAGGGGCAGGTGTAGCACTTCCTGCGGTTGCAGGGGAAAGTGCCGGGGGTGGTGGGGCTGGTGGGGAGTGTGGAGTGGACAAGGGAGTCACGGAGAGAGTGGTCCCTCCGGAAAGCAGATAAGGGTGGGGAGGGAAAAATGTCTTTGGTACTGGGGTCAGATTGCAGATGGCGGAAGTGTCGGAGGATGATGCGTTGTATCCGGAGGTTGGTGGGGTGGTACATGAGGACGAGGGGGATTCTGTTTTGGTTATTATTGTGGGGAGGGGGTGTGAGGGATGAGTTGCGGGAAATGTGAGAAATTCAACTCCCCCTCCCACTCCTCAGACGACATGTCCATCCTGGGCCTCCTGCAGTGTCACAACGATGCCATCCGAAGGTTGCAGGAACAGCATCTCATATTTCGCTTGGGAACCCTGCAGCCCAATGCTATCAATGTGGACTTCACAAGCTTCAAAATCTCCCCTCCCCCGACTGCATCCCAAAACCAGCCCAGCTCGTCCCAGCCTCCCTAACCTGTCCTTCCTCCCACCTCCTCCCACCTCAAGCCCCACCCCCATCTCCTACCTACTAACCTCATCTCGCCCCCTTGACCTGTCTGTCCTCCCTGGATTGACGTATCCCCTCCCTAACTCCCCACCTACACTCACCTTTACTGGCTCCATCCCCGCCTCTTTGACCTGTCTGTCGCCTCTCCACCTATCTTCTCCTTTATCCATCTTCTATCCGCCTCCCCCTCTCTCCCTACTTATTTCAGAACCCCCTTCCCCTCCCCCATTTCTGAAGAAGGGTCTAGAGCTGAAATGTCAGCTTTCCTGCTCCTCTGATGCTGCTTGGCCTGCTGTGTTCATCCAGCTCTGCACCTTGTTATTTCAAATCTCAGCAGAAGATGCTTTCATCTCAGATGATAGGATGTAGTTTATTACATCTCAGTAACTGTGTATTTGATACATTAACTTTTAGGGATATTAGCTATTTTACCTTTCTGCTATGGCATGTACTTTAAGAATATTGTATCATATTCCAATGAACTCAGACTACCCTGAACTACCTGATGCTGCTCCTAGTGGCTGTGTTAAATATCAGAGTTAGCAAAACTTTATCTTACCTCACAGATAAACATTTTCAAAACTATTACTTCATACGATAGTCTTAATGAATGCTTATGTTCCACATAAGCCTCCTTCCACCCTACTTCATCTCAGTCCATCACCACATCCTGTTCCTTTCTCCTTCATGTACATATCTGGCTTGTACATATCCTTAAAGATATCTCTGCCAATTGTTCAACAACTGTCTGTCATGCCAAGCTTTATACTTCAACCACACTCTGGGTAAGGAAGTGAAGTTAGCTTCCCGTAACGACAAGCAGTTTCTCATTAACTAGTTTACTTCTTCATAGTCAGTAACAGTACCTCTGAGGCATCCCATCTGACTCATTAAACTAAATGCTTGATTGTCACCTCCAATGAGATTTTGATGGCTGAGCACTGGTTGCTGGCTGCAAAGTTAGCCAACCCTGCCATTTTGCATGGCATGAAAATTGTGACCTAGCGCAGCTCTAAGAAAGAAAATCTGACACCTACCTAGAAACATGAATAAAACAAAGACAGTCTTCATTTACCCATAAAATTATATAAAATGGCCAGCTTTAACTAGCATCAAAGTGCTCTAAATCCTATCACATGAGAAAGAATGTGTTGCTATACCATTTTTAAAGCAGTTTCACCTTACACTCTGGGTTACCTGGGACTACTATCTTCTACTTCTTTAAAACATCTACGAATAGCTGAAAATTCCTTTACAAGGCCTCAATTCTTTTTCTGGTTACATCATTGAATTCAACAAGTACCAAGACTTCTGATTGTTCTCTTTGCACTGCAATATCTTATGCATTGTTAAAATGAAATAAGACTAAGTAAACTTAAAATACAATAAAAGTGAATGCAAAAGTGTTAGCCTTTATGCCTCACCCACTTTGCTTTAAAGCCCACTCCAGGTTTTGACTTCCAGTGACCTCAAGTGGTTTAATGTTGCTCATCATTGTCTTACTAGGGACCACCTTGCTATAGCTGTACTTCACCAAGTCAATCCATGCTTCTGTCAATAGTAATATTGTAAAGCCTGCATAATACAGCAGCTATGTCAACTTGCTGCAGGCTATTGCAGAGCAACAGCAATGCAGGTAATGCAAACTGTCCTAAGCAGGCCAAAGGTCTGCTCTATTTACATTTTGATTTCATGAATACACAAGGCAAGAAAAAACAAATGACAGTGTATGAGTAAAAGTTGAGGGTTCAAAAATTGGTCATTGAGCCAGGGTCAAGCAGGATATTCTTGGTCTTGTGACATTATGAGACAGTGCTTAGACATCTTGCAACTTCAAACAATGGTGGCAGACTTGAAAACATCATAGCTGTTTTCAGGGTCATGGCCATTCTGTGTTTAAGTTGTATCTGTCAAAAGGAACTCTTTCCCGTTCATGAGGCTATCAGAGTGAAGATGGGTGGTTGCATGCATAACATAAATAGTGTATGCACTTTGGGGAAACCTGCCATATGGAAAGAAATGCAGTGCTGCCTTGTCTAAGGGGAAAATAATGCAATTAAGACATAATTATATCTTGCCACTTTGGTTTTGGTGGTGATATTCTCTTACTTAAGCTATGCTAAATACCATGGCACACAATTTAGGCCAAGACACCGGCTCAGCTTGGTACTGAGAAAAGTCTGTGTGGTTGAAGCTGTCATCTTCCAAGACAAGATTATGCTTGTCAGCCCAGGTCGGAACAAAATATTCAATGATCCTACCGTGTTATTTATCACCAGTCCTCTTAGACACCTTAGCAGAAGTAATGATCAAAGAAGCATTAACAGACATAGAATCTATTGTTAAGATTCAGGAGTGAACAATAACATCAAATCAATTTACAGATGACAAAACACTTGCAGCAAACATAGAAGAAGGATTACAGAAACCAGTAAACAACTTGAGTATTGCTGAAAAAAAGATACATTGTGTGATAGCTTTTCATCTTGCACTCATCAGGCCAGCTCCCAACAACACAAATACAAGGGGAAGCCAACATTTATGCTGCATGAAGAAGAGACTAATTTGCGAAAGACCTTTGAAATGTGGGTTTTGCGGACAACAGAAAAGACAGAATGAATGGAAAAAGTAACAAATGATGAAATGCTAAGGAGAGTGAACAAAGAATAAAATATACTGAACGTGACTAGGAATTTAAGAGGAAACAGATCAGTAACATTGGAAAATGGAGTGAGAATTTTAAGAAAAAAAGTGGAAGATGAGAGAAGAAAATTTTATTGCTGGATGGATTGAAAATCAAAAGAGGTTATTGGAAAATGAAAATACTGATAAAATACAAGACCACAAGCCAAAGAACTGTTTTCGAGCAAAGTACACATTGATGATGGTCCTATGACAAGGAGCAAGAAATTTTCCTGAGCAAATTTCATCCTTTGGACAACATCTGGTGAAGCAGATAATTTGTTGCTTATGCGACCTTCCTCTGAACCAGTTAGTTGCCATCCTTGCCTACATAACAACAGTGGTTGCACTTTAAAATAAGCTGGTTTGTAGAAAACAGTTTGGGACATTCTGATGTCATAAAAAGTGCTGTAAAAATGCAAATTGTTCCTACTGTCAACTGTTTTATACAGTAAACCTCCTTGCAATCCTTTAAGACATATCCCATTCTGAAAGTTTCCATATTCATAAATATTTAAGAGTCTTGACAGCACCTAATGGTAAGGTTTTGTTTAATTCAGAGATGGCATAACTTAATGACTGCTTCCCTAGGTAAAGCACAAACAGAAGGTAAATATTGTTCTGCGTTGAGGATATTGCACCTTCATCTGTAAACACTGGTAATTAGGTATGGACTGGTGGATGACTTGATTGATTTTTAATTGCAATTCACTCTCATCTTTGTGCAGATCCTCTTTTTTTCTGGAATGGGAGATGGGCATGTAGCTAACTGAATATCTGGATTTTAATTATAGTTGCAACACCTTAAATTGTAGCTACTAAAGATATGATGGAATCTCTTTGTGATCCGAATGATCAAATGGAACATTAGAAACATACTGTTGGTGCAGATTCGATGGGCCAAAAAGCCTTTTCTGTACTTTAGGTCTTGATAACAGAAAATCTGCTGATGTAGGAGACAATCACAGAGCAGAAAAAAGACAAATTTCTACTCACATAAAGAAGTTAATAAGGTAGAACAACCTGCAATAAAAGAAATGCCAAAGGTATTCCTGGGGAAATAGGTGACTCAGACCTAGCTTTTTGGCAAGCAAGTATTTATATCAGTGGACTTCTCAATAATTTATGCTCAAAGCCTGTATGATTGTTGCGATCTTCCCACGCCACTTTTGGAGTACTGTGTACAGTTCTGGTCACCCTGCTATAGGAAGGATATTATTAAATTGGGAAAGGTGCAGAAAAGATTTACAAGGATGTTACCGGGACTGGAGAGTTTGAGTTATAATGAGAGGCTGGATTGTCTGGGACTTTATTCCCTGGAGCATAGGAGGTTGAAGGGTGACCTTATAGAGGTTTATAAAATCATGAGAGGCATAGAAAAGGTGAATAGCAAAGATCTTTTCCCTCGAGTAGGGGAGTTCAAAACTAGAGGGAATAATTTTAAGGTGAGAGGAGAAAGATTTAAAAGGGACCTGAGGGGCAACTTTTTCACACAGAGGGTGGTTCGTAATCAAATGCACTGCCAGAGGAAATGGTGGATGCAGATACAGTTACAACGTTTAAAAGCCATTTGCACAGGTGCATCATTCAGAAAGGTTTGGGGAGATATGGGCCAAATGCAGGTAAATGGGACCAGTTTAGTTTGGGAAACCTAGTTGGCATGGATGAGCTGGACCCAAGGGTCTGTTTCTGTGCTGTATGACTCTATGACTCTACTGTTGCCTGCTTTATCTTCTCCATTCACTCTCAGCCGTCCCAAACCCTGCCATTGTTCACGCTGCATGACCTTTGTGCTATCGATTTCCTTGATCAGGATAAATCCCCACCTGCAACAGAAGTAACAGCTGTGCCACCCACTTTAATCTCCCTTATCACCTTCCTCTCTCTCTTATTCTAGGAGCATCCCGGGAGATTCAGACCAAGTATGTGTGAGGAGCCTGGACGTGAGCTGGCAAAGTGTTCTTGCTGCAGCCAGAATGATAGTTGTTGGTGCAGCCTGAGTTGCAGCACTGCAGAGTCAACCCCTTAAGTGGATTGGAGATGTGCTGTGAGGGTTCTTAAAGTCTGGCACACATCGGATACCAAAGGTCTGTGATGGGCGGGTGCTTGCTTTTAGAACCCATGGAGAATGGCCTGAAATTTCAGTGCCTAGTTTCCAACATGGAGGTTGCTTGGAGTAAGCGGCCAGCTGAATGGCCAGGCACATGCACTTGTATCCCTGCAAATTTTCCCCAACATTGAACTTGTTTACAAGAAGTTTGACAAGC